CAGCCAGGTAACCACCCTGACAAAGAAATGCTGTAATCAGCTGATGGGAAAAAAAGGAATAAGATCTTACAACTCTGAGCAGTCATCAGAACATGGGTTTCAGAAGGAAAATGTTTCTCACCAGTGGTAATTATGCACTGAACCAGCTTTCCTGGGCACACAGTAGATTCTTCAATTCCCAGTCATGATTTCAAGACTTCACGTGACAGTTTTATTCAGGCATATTATGTTTTGCTCAGCAGTTACTGGCAAGTTTCACTGACTATAAAAGGATTACGATAGATTATTTTATTGGTCCTTTTTTCTGGCATCTATCAAGAAGCTCTTTCATTGCACAGCAAGCTCAAGGGCATGCCAGGAACTTGGTCCTCCCCAGCTATGCCTGTTGGCACACACAACTAAAGAAATGAGGAAAAAAAATCTTCAAGATAAAGTTTTAACACTGAAAACATCAATAAATCAGTCACTGATATTTTGTCACAGCAAAACAGTCTGGTCTCATGTAACTCCAGCAGAAAAAAATTATTAAAACAGGAGACAACCCTTACCAACAGAGCCCCATAGTACCTGCTCCACCACATATTGCCACATCTCTTTCTTGGGGGTTCAGTGACCTCTAGCATTTCAGCGAAGCTGAGACACAAATAATTCCTTTAAAGGATACAGTATTTTCCATACTCCTTTCCTTCTAAAACCCTTAAACAGATCCATTCGTACTCCTTTCCCACAACAGTCCCTAGGGAAAAAGAGGGATTATTTTGTTTTATTAACAGATAAGTTTCTTCAGCCGAATTACTACTGGTGTTTCCTTCCTAGCAGAAACTGGGAAAGCTTCCAGTTTGTAAGCATCCTAGATCAATTGCAGATGGATAGAGCAAGGCATTATATGACCACACTTTGCCTACGCTGCATAGCAGAATTGCATCTCCTCTACCATTTTCTACAATAGTTGCCTTCCTTGTGGCTGTTCCCATCTCTTATCTTTTTCTGTTTTTTTTTAGTGTTAGTTTTAAGTTCCCTTTTCTCCAGTGCTGCCACATGAATTTCTCAGGACAAGAAAATTTGCATACTCTTTTCCCTGGGATCCTGCTTCCTCACCACCGTGGCCCTGAGGCTCATGTCTGAGGGGGTCCCATTGAATACCAGGCTTCGTCTGCCGCTTCCATTCTCATTTTCCACAATTGCCCCAAAGCCAGGCAGAGGATCCACGCTGTTTGGACTTTGTAAGCCAGTCCAATAAAGCCATAATCCTTCTTGGAAATTTCTGGGCACTGCTTGAAGGGAGAGCAAGACTTCACATGGATTAGCAGACTGGACAGACTCAAGGTGGGGAGCAGGAGTAGAAGAGACCAGAGCTCCTTTCCTTCTTCATTCTGATCTTCCTGAAATTCAAGCACCATGGTGCCTTTTTTTTAGAAATAATATTAAAATGGCCCAAGCTTCTTCCAGTAGCTGCCCTGGCCATGAGCACACATTCCCCCTATCTTGTGCTGGAGTTATCTCTGCAAAGGAAATTCCAGAGATGGAGATAAGGATTGGGTTAAATTCACACCCTCCCACACTCAGGTTTTCATTCTCCATATCACCTCCTCCTCTTTCCCCAGCTGATGGGCCAAAGGTGTGCAAGCTGGAGCCTTGCTAACCAAGCCAGCCACACCACCTGCAAACTGGCACTACATGGCTGCTCCCTGGCAGCTCTTCCCTCCACTCTGAAATGACAGAATACTAATATTTAGTAAAACATGGTGGTTTGAAGTTTCGCAGCTGGCTCCTTCACAGGCAACATAATTTTCCACTACTGAGGGAGAAGAAAATATTTCAGACCACAGTAAGACACCAAACAGAAGTGTCTGCTGACAGCTCTGCCTTTTCCAGCTCCTGCAAGACCAGCCTGTGTATTGTGTCTTCACAGAGCACCACTGCTAGAGTTTTGCTCTTCTGACCATGTTTTGATTCCTTTCCTGAAGTTCTTACCCTTATTTCCCTCAAACACATAATTTCCTGCAATACTGCAGACAGGTATATGCCAGGGCTCCTTGAACAGTGTCTGCCAGCAGGTTCTGGGGGAGGCTGTGGGACAGGGTGATATGTGGGAGCAGCGCTGGGATCAGTAGCATTGTTCCTAAGCAATTCCTCATTATCACAACTGTTGCTATTGGGAGATAATAATGGAAAGCAAGAAACTGGTAATAAAGCTAAAATATCATGGGAGCCAAAGCTCAGGCAGTTCCTTTGTGGGGCTGAGCCAACAGGGAGAAGGCCCTACATCAGCAAGGCCAGAGCAGAGCACGAGGTCATCCACCTTTCACAGCTCCTGGAGTTCAGACACATGGTATGGGACCACTGAGGGTGAGGATCCCCTCCATCCCACCCTGCCTGGGGCTTGCCATGGTGCTGAGCCCCAGCACAAGCACTTGCCACCCACCTGAGCCTGGTTATATCTTGTGTTTTCAAAGCCATTCACTTGGCACAAGGGGAGAACAAGGCTTCACTCAGGTCAATGTGTCCCATCACACTGCTTCTACAAAATGTCTCTCAATACCACACAAATAATCTATAGCAATCACGCTAAAACCAGCTCATGCTGGTTTCATATGGAAGCACTAATAAAATGGGAAGATGTTAGGGATTGTGAGGAACATAGACCCACAACTGCTTCATTTTTTCAATTCAGTCTAACTGACTGCAGCCACAAATCATGCAAAGTTTTGTTAAATAGGGAAAAAAGCTGTATTGAGCTTGCCTGGCAAGCACGGGAGGAGTAACCACGGCCCAGAAGTTTATTACCTCTCTCAGTGGGGCTGAGCTGGCTCTGCTCCCATTGACTGTGGAGAGGGGTGAACACCTATCATCTGCTCTGATGAGGCTGAACAGAAATAGAACAAAACTGGACATATTTAGCAGTTGGACATTTATACAAGTATGTGATGATGTAAAGAGTAACCACCATCCTGCTGTCAAACTAAAAAAAGCATTTGGCTGCCTGCCTTGACCCTGGTCTAGGCCTCAAGGGGCACAGTGTGGCCACCGACACCTTCCTCCTCATGTCTTACTCAACCTCCAGGGTCAGATGGGGCTTTTGATGCTAATTTCATGGGGTGAGCCCAGACTTCAGTGGACGATGTGCTGTCCCTCTGCAAGCTATACCTTCGAGGTTGAGGTGAGAGCCGGGAACAAAGCATTGCTAACTTCCAGAGGCAGTGAGGTGAGATGTGGGCATTTCTAGAAAATCCTTCAAAGGACCACCCTATGACTGTTAACTACTCTGAATCAATTAAATTTAGAGCAGGGGCTAAAAGCAGCCCTGTCCATTGCTGAGGCAGAGGAGGCACATCCCTGCTGTGTCAGGTACACAGCAATGCTCTGCTTGCACACAGCCTGTGCATGCATAAAACAAAACCCACGCTGGGAGCAACAGGTGGGCGGCAAACCTCTGACCTCCTTCTGAAGTGCCAGGCAATGGCATAGCCCATGGGCTGGGAATTCTGTACCCAGTGCAGAAGCAGCAGCTGGCCCCTCAGGGGCCCTGGCACAGCTCTCCAGTTGTTAGATCTGAGTAGCAACCTTGCAATCTGAAAGCCTGATCCTCCATCTCCTGCCGCTCCCCAAGCTGCAACTACGGCATCCTCAGGGCTTACAGGCAGTACAGAGGGGGACAGCCTTCAAAACTGAGTGGGCACAGCCAAACCACCCAACAGAAGCAGTCAGCAGTGGTGTAGGCTCCCAGGGGACCAGGACCTGGCAGGGAGGACAGAGTCCTGCAAAAGGAAGTACTGCTGAGCTGGACAACCCTCTCCATCCCTCTTTTGAGCTCCTGGATCTGATCCAGGCTCTGTGTCAGGTACAGCGCTGGGCAACAGCCACCCTGGGTACCATCAGTGACACGTCCTGGTGGTAAACACAGGATTTCCCAGACATGCACAACTGTCACTGTCAGGTTTTCATCCTCCCTCAGTGCCTGATATTGACCGAAGCAGTAGCCCATTTCCACGTACATCTGTGTTTCAAACTGTGTAAGTGTCAGAGATGAAAGCACTGGTGGCTGCTCCCCTGGGGTCTACTCCTGACTCCAAAAGCTTTAGATGTTCAGTGTCTGAGAGATGCTCATAAAAATCACCATCTACTGAGGTGACAGAAAACAGTGACTTCTGTCACCAAATTGGATGAACATTTCCCTGCTCTGTGTTATCTCCTTTTCACAGGCTTCCAGAAGTGACATTTTATGAGCATATTTTCTCACTGTTTTGCTCAAGCCAGCTCAATTACTTATAACATTGTACAACCAGTTAGGGTTGTACATTTAGCATTGTAAGAAAAAAAAAATACTCCTGACAGCTTTAGTTTAACAAGAGAAAAAACGTGGTGAAGTTGGGGGTTTTGTTGGGTTTTTTGGACCTAAAGCCAAATTAGCCTCTAGGCAGTGAGCTAGAAAAAACAAGTTTCTAATCCAGAAAAGCTCCCTGGTCTCTCTTAAGCATTAAATGGCCAATTTATTCACCAGGGAGAGGGTGGAGAGTTTTTCACTCACAATCCTTTCAAGATTATTATTATTCTACTTAAAATGCCTTTAAAAGTCTACTTTTGGTTCTAATTCATGTTAAACAAGATCTTGGGGAAACTTTTGTCTGGCGAGCTAACAGAAGCTTCATTTCAAACTCAAGTAAGGTCTTTATGGGAAGATCTTCTGGAAACAATATAAAAACAAACATTGGGGGAGGGAGGAAAGAGACGAAGAAAACATATCATTCTTCTTCCCAAAACTGACCTCTGCTACAGTTACCCTCCCTGTTGTGAAGAGGCCTTCTTTGTGACCCCCCTTAGCTCAGTCCATGTGCAAATCCCAAGCCTATGTGCATTTATTAGCAGACTCAGGTATTTAAGGGTTAAAAGACTTATATAGGATAAGATGAAAATTGAATACGCTGAGACTGCAAGAGAGTAACAACTTTCTTACAAATACCTGTACCCAATAGTCAAAATTACTAGGAATAAGCCATCATACAACTGTTTTAAAAGACCAGAGTTTTCCTTTTGTTTTCCCATTTTTTAAATGAAAGTAGATGAAAAGCAATAGAAATCTTCAGTAAGATGCCTGTCAATGCCAGTTTGTGTTTGTAGCACAATGCAGGCTCCTCTGATGTTGTTTCAGTATGATTAATAGTATTTTAAAATAATGCCTGTGCAATAGCCACATCTGAAACTCATATAGAAATCTGAATATTATCAGAAAAGATAAAGAAAGCTAAGTAACAAATCAAAGGGCTGAGAATTTCTCATGTCTCAGCAGGTGATATAAATTTAGTTCTCCTTTATAAAAACTTATTGAATTCAACTTTAAGAAGGGCTTTGTTCCCCTCATGTTTTCAATGTCATTTTAAGGATCATCTGTAAAAGCAGAACACTCTAAATCATTGCATTATTCTTCTAGCTAATAAACTCAAGGTAACTTTTGTACAGTATTAAAGCAGTCAGTGTTAATGGATTACAGGGTTTGTAAGCTATCCTGCTGCAGAGGCATCCAAAGCACTGCAGGAATGTAGTGGTGTTCCCCAACATGGACTTCCGAGTTTCAGTCCAGGATTTCTCCATCTCAGTAGGTGGTAGATCATTCAGATTAAGGCCTCGTTTGATTTGCTCTTGCAACGGAGAGCTAGAAACACTGCAAAAAGCATGCAGAGACAGTGGCTAAGTCTGTAAGCGTCTCTCCTTTCCTAAGTGTCCAGCTGCGTTAACGGGGCAGAGCACTCCATGCCAGTCACACCACAGAGTAACCCAAGGATGAGAAAGTTCCTCACAGATGGGTGGCAGAGGCATCACCACTAGGACATGTAGGGATGGACACAAGCGCACAGGAGGGTCTGGTGCTTGTCACATTCTGCCTGTACTTTGGACAGCGTTGTCTAGCATTGTGTGCATTCCTTAGGCACCAGTGTTGGGGTGGGGACATTTCTCAAGTCACTGAGTGACCAGGACCTGCACAGCTCAAACTGTGCACAGCAGGACCCACTCTGCTGGGTACTGGGTTCAGGTATGAAGGCCACGTACCTGAAAGAAAGAAAGATAAATTCAGTCACTAAGCAGGTCAACAGTGGAATGAAGAGTAAAAACTGATCTTCTCACCCCACTTCTGTGGTTCCCACTGTATGTTTTCCATAGACCCCAAGACTCTCCATGCTATTTCAATAGCTCTTCAAAAATCAACAAAACCTATTGCCACAACAAGGTGAGGCTCACACCTCTAAGATAACCATTCTTTGGGGACCCCTCACCTCAAAGGCAGTGTGAAGATCTGCTGCATCCAACCCAACAGCTTCTGAATTGCTGCCAACTGTTGAGCCAAGGCTCTTTCCAAGCACTGAATCAGCTAAAGGCAGCCTGTCATTAGACTGCCTAATGGGAAATGCGCCACCATCAGCACAAAGGGAGTCCACGCACAAGGTTTTATAGCACATGATTTATTGTTTCCATCCTTATTCCACCAAGGTGTCAAGTGAGATCCTGAAGATGAAACAGCAGCAGTTATCATGCTAATAACTGTGCTCATTTTCAGCCCTGCACCCTCCTCCCAGCAAACAAACCACTCCAACTGGAGAAAAAAATTGCAGCATGCTGCTTTGGCATTAGCACTTTGCAATTAAATCCTCACCTTTCCATCTCTTGCTTGGAGCACTGTGTTGCCAGAAATAGTGCAACTATGCCTGGCTTCCCACTTTTTTCACATATTTACTCTTCCAGCAGGCTGGGACCACTTGGTTTGTGAGGGCCAGTGGTTCATAAACCATTACCTTGCTCTACAGGAAGCCATATCATGATAGCACAAAACCCACAGTGACACTGCTCTGTTATACACAGGCTTTGAAAGCTTTGCAGTTAAATCCATTAACCATGTGCATTTAGAGGAGATGCAATCACTCTACCTGTAACTACACCTCGGTGAGTGACCAGGCAGAAACACCGTGGACATTCACCAACAATCACTGCTTTAGGCCTCTGTAAGGCAGAACGTGCTGTCTCCTCAGTAAGCTGGGCAGCACATTGCCAGCAAAGGAAAGTGAAGACAGCCTCTTCCATGGCCTTTGTAACTGCAGTTTTAAAGAAAAAAAAAAACCACAAAACTTTTAATTAAGTAAGTCTATGCTTACTTCAAAACCAAACCCTACCCACATTAGCAGGAGATTTAGCATTAAGTTCTCCGGGGATGAGGGAAGCGTCTGTACCAGCCAACAAAGCATCTCTGTGCTCTCTGCTTTGCCCTTTTTTACAGAGTGGAGGTAACCACATCCATCCCAACAGGGGCAGGGAAGCTTCATTAACTGATGGTTACACAACACTTTCACATGAAAGCCATGTGTTTACAGTTTCATTTTGTCATAATTAGTGCCACATACTACAGCAATGTCTCCAGGACTTTAATACCCAGTTTGTGTAAGGGGCATTTCACAAAGCTCAGCAAAAAAAAATTCCTTATTATTAAGCAATTGCCACGTAAGTACACTCGGCTCTTACAGATGCCCTGACATGTCTCAGAATAAGCAGGTAGTAGGCAAAAGTTTGACTTGCTCATGATTCAATGACATTAAATCAACTTGCTTTAAGTAACTGTCTCTGATACAGGAAGCACTATTTATCCCACTGCTAAAAAAATTTAAAAACTAAAAAAAAATCTTCTGCCTTCATTGGAAACAAGCCTGGTTCAGGTGGCTATCTGAGCACAGGAGTGGAGGAAAGACTAATGAACTGATGTCCTCTGGGCTAAAAAACCCAGTATATTTTTCAGAACTGGTCAACAGAGATGCCAAAGCTGTGCTGTTCATTGTAAGACCTGAGTTGTAACTTCACTGATGTGTCACTGGCCCCAGGGCAAGGCACTGCTCTCTTGAGCTCCAGGCACCTGAGCAGCGGTGTCAATGAGCTTCCATATGGTCACTTAATAAAGGTCATGAGAGGCTTTGGGCAGATACATCTTTTGATATCTCCTGGACGAAACCATGTTTCCATTTGATCGCCGTCAGATGCCATTTGAGTACTAATCCCTAGAAATACCTGAGGCACTTGACCTCCTTCTTCTGTGAACTTCTCCCTGTGTTTTGCAAACACAGACTTGACTGCAAGCACTGCTGAAGTATTGCTGACATTTCATGACATCCTGGAGCTAGCTAAATAGGGACAAGAGCCCTAGAGGAAGAAAAGGAAGGACTTTTGCAGAGATGATGTTCAGGTAGTACTGTATACAGATATTTATAACCAAGGACATAAGGGGTTATTTAAGATCATGACTGGAGGAACAGTAATAAAGAGTTCAGGCCTACAGAAAAGCAGAGTAATGGTAGAAGGAAAACACATGTGAAATTAAAGGCAATTAGTACATAATGTGACAGGTCCCATCATTTTGTTTGAAAATATTTTTTATGCAGAGCATCTCTGTCCCCATACGGTACCATCTCCCCAACTCTGCTTGGCTTTTCAACCTTCAGCCACACATAGGTGACAAATCCACTAAGTCTATAATTTACACACATCTATATCTACCTCCAACTTTCCGTCAGTTCCAGAGAAGATTCAGAAGGTCCATCTGCACTGGTAAATAAACCTAGATAGGGCTTGTCCATGACCAGAGGCCACCTGACACAGCCTGGCCACCTCTCTACAGCTCCAGTCTCTTCACACCACTCTCCAAGCTGAGAGCTGTGGATGTAAAGCTGACCTCCCCAGCACCAGTGGAGGCCAAGGAAAGGACGGAGCTGCAGGGAACGTGGGTACGAGCTGAGCTGAGCGCTGATCCTTGTTGGTCCCTTCCAACTCAGGATATTCTTTGATTCTGTGATTCCAATCATAGGCTGGTGTCAGTACTCTACTCAGTCACAACATCCATGACTCTTCTCAGAGGAGCTCAGCAACAGGACAAGAAGCAACAGCCACACACTGGAACAAGGGAACATGGTCAGGCACTGGAGCGAATTTCCCAGAGTGGATGTGGAGTCTCCATCTTCAGAGACACTCAAAACTGGACAAGACCCTGAACAGCCTGATCTGGCTGGACCTGCATTGAGCAGAGGGTTGAAGCAGAGACCCTTCCAGGTGGGACATCTCTAGGACATCTCAAATGGTTCTGTTTCCCATATGGAGATTCAGTTGAGCCACAGTTTGCCGAAGTCTCTGCTCCTCCATGAGTTGGAAAAGCAAAAATCTTCCTTGTCAGCAGTACTGATTTGCCCATCATCTCCGTTCCCAGTCAAGTTATGCAGTGTTTCCAGATTTGCAGTCACTGAGTTTACAAAAGCCAAACCCTGGGATCTGTTACCCACATTTCTGGGGAGTTCAAGGGAGAAATCCTGTCTCTCCTCCTTCTCCTTTGTAACCTTCCAGCAGCATGGAGGTGAAGGAAATGCCAGTCCCTGGGCTCCCATACCTCAGGCCTGCCTTCTGGAAAAGCACAGCTTGACATTTTTAACTACATGCTGGAAGGTACACTGTACTTTTTTATAAAAGAAATGCTTTTAAAAACTTCCTTGCCACTAATTCCTTCAGATGTGAAATACCAAAAGTTGTACAAGTTCTTCCAACTAGAAGAATGCAAAGGCTTCCTCTGGAGGAAAAAGCCATGATTTTGCACATTAAAGCCAGGGTAGGTGAAAGGAATATCTCTTCACAAGCAATCTGATCCTGCTCACCTCACGCTTTGCAGATAAAACCCTGGGAAGTGCTGCCCTGCCTCTCCCTCAGGCCACCCAGCTCTGGTCCCCCCTTCACTCCATCCAGGAGATGGAGATGTTCTATCATAGTGCAGCTTCAGAGATATTTGTTACAAAGTCATCTGTCTCTGGAGCTGGTTAGGAGACACAGGTTTGCTAGCACCAGGATAGGTCATACATAACATGAAGGCATCCCATTAGAGCCACTCAGCAAGTTATTCCATGGCCTGGGCCATAAAACCCAACATTACCCAAGTGCGTGCATTTAACTCAGGTCATCTGTGAGGCATGGACACAGCTCTGGCCTGGAGTGGGCTAAAGGCAGAGTGACAGTCAGCACAGCCCTACTGTCAGGGGACAACCCTGCCAGCTCCCAGAAGTCAGATGTGTATCTGAATACCAGGTCAGTTTTAGTACTTGCTGGTAAGGCATTAACCTCAGCTATTTTCTTTTTCTGTGCAAGTTAAACCAGTTTGTTTGCATCTATATTTGGTGGTCTCTGTCAGGCTTCCCTGCACAACCAGGGCTTGGCTCTGGCTCTGCAGAGCTGAAGAGATGAGTATTTATTTAATAACAGCAGTCCCAGTTTGGTGGTGATAAAGGGCACAGAACTGGAGGCCAACCAATCTAACAGTGTCTCAAATCACAGTATTTTACATGTGCCCTTGATCCCCTCTCACCTCTCTTGAAGGGCTCCAGGCTACCAGGCTGGAACAGAAAGCAGAGGTGGAGGTGGAGAAGAGATGTCCCTGGTCAGAGGCATCTACAATAGCTCAACTTGGCAAAGGTGACCAACAGCAATGCCAGATGTCACTGCTACCTTTTGCTCTCTGGACAAAGCATCACCAGGCTGCAGCATCTCTGCACTGGGTAGGCAGCAGGGAAGTGCTCCTGTAGCCCCTTGCCTTCTTCCAGGCTGGGACAGGGCAAGAGCCACAGGAATTTAGTTCCTGTCCAGGCAGCAAAGCAGTTTCTGCCGTATGAAGCCAGGCCTGGTAGCACCTGCCTGCTTCCCTACACCTTGCCTGATGTCACCCCAGGCTTGTGCAGGTCTGCTGAGGTCCAAGCCCAGCGACCCTGCAGCAGCTGTGACTCTACTGAGGTCTGGGACATGGCTCCTTAGCTGAAATCCCACTGCCTGCTGAACACTGGGGATGTCAGCCTGTCCAAGGTCAGCCAGTCTTCAACCCTGCCCCCACTGAGGATGAGAAACAATTTTCACAAAACTGGAACAAGAACAAAGTTTCTGCTGGAAGGGGAAGTTCATCTCTTGCTGATTCGCTTCACACACCCACAGGATCTCTGCAGAGCTCTTCTGCTTCCCTACACCCTTGTGTTTACCCAGCAGTTAGAAGCAACCATCTCTAAAGGCCATGCACAAAATCCTACCGTGAGTACCAGGACAAAGAGAGGAGATGGACACAACTGGGGAGCTGCAGCAGGAAGTCCAGCAGGGCTCTGCAGAAGGGCAGCCCACTGGGGATGGGGCAGGGGCATAGGGTCCACAGGGCATCCGTGTTTGGAGACACGGTGGGGCTGGGAGTCACAGTGGGAAAGGCCAGTAGAAGCCAGGACTGAAACAAGGAAGCTGGAACAAACTCACAGGGTCTGAGTGGGCCCAAGGGGGGCATTTATGCTACTGATTAGGCAAGTACACCATGCAGACAGCTTGATCATCTCCACTTTGGCTACTACATCCATACTGTGGTCACTGACTGGAATTTGCAGCTTGAGTTTTAAGTTACTGATGAGAACACAGCACTACCATGTGGAAACCAGCTCATCTGCATGATACTGTACCTCACCTGCCCTGCTGCAGGTGACAATGGGATTTTGGCCTTTTTCCTCATTTGGACATAGTTTGAGCCTCACCCAGGGACTCGAAAAGAAAAGGCTTGTCTTACCAGCACACAGGCTGCTCATACAGGACATACCATAATACTCCAGCTGTGTGACAGCTGCCTCTCCTGGGTGCAGAGATGCTCAGGCAGGAGCCGGCTGCAGCTGCTGCAAGCACTCCCATGGCATGAGCCCTCCATACTCCCAAAGGAAAGACTGCAGAAAGACAGCATGGTGAGACACACAAAATGCAACTCTTTGCTGAGCTGGGTCTTTATTCTTGTGTTTTTGAACAAAGCAGAGCCCTTCCCTTAAAATGTGGGAAGCAGAGGGGAAAAAAGTGTTTACTGGCAATGCTTAGGTTGCAGTAAAATCCAAGATGTGTTGAGAGGACACTCCTAAAAAATATGCTTTCATATTTAAACATCTGTTCTCAGCAGTTTTTTTGCGAATTAGATGAGTTAAACCCCAGCCCTGGGCCAAAGCCCAGCTCTGTTTATTACACAGAGGCAACCTCCATCCCTCCTCTAGCTGTGGTTTCACCACTTTGTCCTGGCCTCGTCATGCTGTAGGTCGGCTCTTCAGCAAGGGAACTGGACTCCCCTGCTCTGAAGTACCCACCTTACCAGCTCATCTCAGCCAGGTAAAGGTACATTCAGCACAAGGCAGCACCTTGAGCAGCAACAGAGACGAAGCAGGCTTGGGAACATTTACTCCTAACCATCACCTTCCAAATCAGCCTCTTAGAGTTTCCCTCTGTACATCTCACTGGCCTCTCTCTTGCAGTTATTTTTCTCTGGACAGCGTGTGGCAGCAGACAACGCTGGCTTTGTGCTCTCTTCTTAAGCCCAGCTTTTTCCATACACTATTTCACAGCATATCAGTTCAGACTCACAGGACATGAGGTCTCTGCATCAAAGAAAACACCTGAAGAACTGTAAACATTAGAAATAAATTTTCCAGGACGTTTTGGGTCAGAACTGTAGAAAAACCCAAATGAAGATGGTATCTGGGAAAAGGTTTGAAAAACCAAGTGACGGAGGCCGGCTCTGCGATGTTCTCATTGCCTTTGCTACACACAAGTTAATGCTAGAAAGGCAGATTAATATATAAACCTGTTCACTGAAGGGTAACACCGGTCCAGCAGTTCACAGTGGGTAAGATGAAGGTTTTCCTGCTTGCTCCATGGAGGTCAAATTTTATTATTTTCTTCTCAAAGTGTGGCAAAAGCTGTCTAAGGTAGTTTGACATCTAGACAAACTTCTGATGGACATTCACTGGTCTGCTTCTAAAAAATCCACAGTAAATATCTGAACGAAGATCTCCAGGCTCTCTCCAAATGTGCCAGGGTGTCCTCACCTGCCTCACGGTGCAAGGCAGGAATGCCCAGGTCCTGACAGTGGTCGGCCAGCATCAGTGGTGCTGTGGAGGACAGCTAAGAAAACGCAACATCTCCCCGTGCCACATCACAGGGAAGTGGATACCCTGTGAGGGGACCTTAGGATGTCTGGGAAGCATGTGAGAAACCACCCTTTTAGTCAACAAGCAAGACAGAGAGATGCATTCTGAAATTATGTATTTTAACTTTGAGTTTTAATCCTTTTTGTGATTAATACAGGTGACCACAAAAAAACTCCATAGCTTTCCAGAACTATTATGCCAAGGGATGTCTATCTCTGTTGAAGGCTTGCTGAAAATACACCAAGTATTAGGAAAGAAAACAAAACTTAACACATGTGCTGTGATATTGTTACAAGACCAGTTCCTTCAGTGAACTAACTGCAAATAACCTAAAAAATTTCTGGTGGGAACAAAAACCTGAAAAAACACAGCTCCCCAGGTTCTGTTTTGGTTATTGTGTCAGAGGGTGCCTGTTATTTTACCAGCAAGGAAACTCTTCATGCGTTTGGCTCTCTGATGCTCCCATAATAACTACTGATAGGACTGCAGCTGCCCATCATGCCTTGACAGGTGAACAGCAGTACAGCCCAGCACCACCCCTCCCAAATGCTGGCGCTGGGACCCTCGTGAGGTGTTGCCCCTGCTCAGGGAACCTGTCTGTGGGGCACAGGGTGTGTTGGCATCTGATTTCCATCCTTCCCACCCCCTCCTTGCACTAATGCTGCCGAGTGCAAAGGCTGGGCTGGGCTGATCCTTGCACTGGCTAGAGCCGTGAAGATCTGTCCTGTGGCCAGGGGGCTGCTTCAGGGGTTGGAGCCAGAAAGCAAAACCTGAGGAAGCAAAAAGCTCAGGCTCTGCATCAGAGGGGAACAACAATTCCCTGGCTTCGATAGAGAAAAAGCCTGGACTATGGGGTCTCACTTTGAGGTTGAGAGGTGAGATAGGGTCTGTGAGACCATCCCAGTGACCATGGGCTGGGGACAAGGCACGGAACAAACAAGTTCACTGGAACTGGCTGCAATTTTTCACATGCTCTGTCCCTTCTCAGATGAAAGACTGTCAGGAGAGAGAAGACTGACAGTCCTGCCTGTAGTCTGGGGATAGGGTGAGATATGGGCTGAGGTAGAGTCAGTCTGGTTTATTCATATACTCAGGGAATGAGCAATCTTAAAATAAGATCTGAAAAAAATTCACATTTTGTCCTGGCAATTGCATGTGTCAACTCCACTTTGGCCTTTGCTCTTAAAAGTCCAGTCAAATACTTTAGCAGGTAAATCAGTGCTAGTGGCTTTGATGAATAACGGTAATCCTAAAATAAAACCATGTTCCTCAAATAAATGTGATGGTTTGGACAAGACTCGGGTGTCAATATGTACAAGTATAAATGTGTGTGCATATGCATGCATGCATTTGTATCTCTGCAATTATTTTTTTTATTAGAAGGCATTGATTGCCAGGTTTGAAGAGTGCTGTCTAGCAGAGGTAGGCATCCTTTCACACACAGCATACATCCTTTTCTTTCCCAGAGCAGAGGCTGAGGGTGCCAGCACAGCTGGAGTGAGAAGAGACCACCCACCATGTTAAGTCCAGCATCATCATCCAAAAGAGCTCCTGGGCTCCCATAGGATTTGGGAGAAGCCAGGAGCCAGCACCGCTGGCATTCTCAACACTGTGCTTTGGATGCAAAGGCTCCTGGCTCATTGCTGGCTTGGCTGTGTGCCATCCAAAATTGATCCACGTGCTGTACTTGGCACTTGCACTACACACTTCCAACCCTTGCTCTTGAAGATCAGCCAAGATATTATCCACTGGCCCTGCTGGTTAAAAGCCACCAGTCCATCATAAAGAGGAATTTGATAGCTGATTTTCATTAATTTTCCTGAGGAGTCATGTACTTATCAGGCTTTTAGCTTTTGGAAAATCTTCTCTTTAATTCTCAGCAGTACTTTAGGAGCAGGGAGGTACCACTGAATAGTCTCAGAGTCCTTCCATGTCACTGTAAACCATGGCAGCATTTAAGGTCACTGTTGCTCAAACACTTTCCTGGCTCCAGCAGTGATCTGCTTCAAAACACAAGGCGTTTGGCTCATTTTGACAGCTGGTTTATGGAGCCAAGTAAATTCACTTCCAGCTGAATCTGAGGGACTGTCCTGGAATGAACTGTTTCCATGGGGGCAGCCAGGAGACTTTCCAGGAGGCTCCAGTCCTTCAGAGACAGCCTGCAGGGATGGAGGAGGAGGAGAAGTTTGTTCACTTCTTGTTGGGAAGTTTTTGTCTCTGATGCTTGCAGAGCCTGTCCCTTTCGGACATTTTGTTTGGGGATATTTAATTCCACATTCAACTCCGCCATCTCCTCCTCAGGAAGCAGGCCTCATCACTTCTCCTTTCTCCAGGACCTGCCTCAGATCCAAAGCAGTTCTTTGTGACTACCCTGGCTCTGGACCCAGACATGTGAAACCACACCCCCAGACTCACAGATGATCTACTCTTCCTACAGAACATCCTTCACAGAATCACAGAATGATTTGAGTGGGAAGGGACCTTTAAAGGTCATCCAGTTCAACGCCCCTGCCATAAGCTGGGACACCTTCCACTGGACCTGGTCTCTCAGAGCTCAGTCCAACCTGACCTTGAATGTTTCCAGGGATGGGGCATCTGTCACCTCTCTGGGCAACTTGTACCAATGTTTCACCACTCTCATTGCAAAAAAATCTCTTCCTTATGCCTAGTCTGAATTACCCATCTTTTAGTGTAAAACCATTACTCCTTGTCCTATCACTGCAGGTCCTGCTAAAAAGCCTGTCCCTGTCTTTCTTGTAAGCCCCCATTTTTAAGAGATCAACCTGGCAATGATCTGACCTCTTGTGTCCTTCCCTCCTCCAGCCCCTCTGTCATGAACTTTTGCTTGGTGATTTAGGAAGAACAAGCAGAATGAAAGGCTCGTAGATGTAACCATTGCAGTCAGTGGTGAGGAGGACCAAGAAGACTCACACTCTGCCCCTCCTGTGTTTATCAGCCTCTGGTTTGGAAGGAGGGGAGCAGCAGCCCCGTGAGACCTGCTCTCCTTCCCACTCACCCGCATGCTGCAAACAGGGGCTGGAAACCAAGCAGCCACTGTACCCCCCTAGTCTCCTCCCCTGGCGGAATGACAGTCTTGCCTTTAATAGGTGCTGTTTAATTTGAGTGATACCTTCCAGAGTGCCCAGCAATTGCGCAAGTGTTTTACTGTTGAAAGCAAAGAAAGAAGCAGCCTAGGATGGTTGGGGGATCAACTCCACAGGCTCGACAGCCTGCTGAGAAGCAGAGTGGCTCCATCTGTGGGGATGGGCTAAGGAGGTGCCCATTCTTTGCATGGGATATTTCCCGAAACTCCACTCTTTTCACTTGTTAGTCCCCGACCCAGGAACACCACCAGAACCACCACTCAGTGCCCCAAACCCGACCCAAATGGCATCTCCCGGGCTGCGTTATTCTCCCAAGGTCTGCCATACCCGTCTGCGAGAGGTGTGCCTGAGTTCAGCCCAGGACTGCTGTTCCTGCTGCATGATCCCCGAAGATGACAACGTCCTCTCCCCAGCTCAGGGAGATGTATGTAAAGATCTGGAGCTAGGGAGGCCCGAGCTAATGGGCTGGAATGGAAAGTTTTGGACGGAAAAGGGGAGCGCGGCACCCTGCCCAAAAAAGCGTGATCAGAAACGGCCGCGCATCCCTCCCCTGCGCCGCCGGCTCCCTCCCCTGGCCTTGGGCGCTCCGGGGTGGGATTCTCCCACCGAAGGTTCCCGGAGCGGCGGAGCGCCGCGCCCGCCCCGCCCGGGAGAGGCGGCGGCCCGGAGCGCTCCCACCGGCACGGCCCCGGGCCCGGCGCGGCCCCGGCCATGGGCAGCGGCAGCAGCCGCCGGCGGGGCGCGGCGGGGCCCAAGGGCAGAGCGGCGGAGAACCGGGAGCTGCCTGAGACGGCGCCGGCAGAGAGCGAGGGGGTGGCGGCGCCCGCCCCCGCCCGCCCAGCCCCTGCCTCCGGCGGCATTCCCGAGCCCCGGGCCGCCGGGAGCTACGGGGCGATGCGTGCAGGCGGCGGCGGGGCTCCGCTTCAGCAGGCGGTAAGTGCCCGCCCGCGCCCCGGTCGGGACCCCGGACGCTCCCGGCGGCGGCTCCGGTACCCCCAAGACCAGCCCGGGGGTCCCCGCCTGCCATAGCCTGCTCGCCGCGTCTTCCTCCGAACATAAACCGCACTAAATTCCTTTTATCTTCACTGCGAGCCCGGCTCAGTGCTCCCTTCTCCTTTTCTATTTGCTACTCTGCTTGCGTTTTCTGTCTCTTGTGCAAAGGAAACACCGTCCCGAGAGGGGCCATCCCGTTCTCCAGTCTCCCGGTGCTACTGGAAGTTTCTTTTCCTACCTTGTGGAAATAGCTCGACTTTATAGTTCGGCTTCTGGGTCAGGCTTGTAAACAGAAGTTTAAAAATGTGAACATAAAACTGCCCTTTAATGTTTGCCAGTCCACTGCAACTGCAGTCTGGCTCTTCCTAAAGGCGCATTTCAGTCTGTTTCTGTTTAACAAATTACGGATTTGCCACCGAGGGAGTTGAGATTTATCTTTTGTGGGTGTTTTCCAATCCAAAAATAGCAGCAGCATCTATG